GAGACTCCGTGCCGAGAAAGAGGATGGGACCGAGGGGGGAATAACAGAAAGGGGGACGGGGTTGAGATATAGAAGAGGAAGAAGAAGAAGAAGGCGAGAGGCGAAATCGGGACAGGACAAGGAGTTTGAGCTAGAAGGGCGGGGGAAGGAAGGTCTAGGTTTGAAAGAAGAATGGGGGGGAGTGACGAGAGGGGGAATCGTTACTGTAAGCGTGGTTGCTCTGCATGGAGCATCATGGCTTTTCAATTCACATCGGGCTGCAACATGCTACAGCCACTGCGAACAAAACTAGCACGTCTCGTAGCTCTATCGACTGCCGCTCGTGTTCATGCGTGTGGGAATCATGCGTTGTCCATCTAAGCAAGCGTGATTTGGCGAGGCGTAACGGGCCCCATTGTCACATCGAAGACAAGACTGGCGCAACTGGACCGCAATCTGTCCAAAGATGTCAGTGGTCCCAGCTGCAGCTGGACAAAGGACAAGACTTGCTAAATGTAGCCATGACATCGTTGTATCACTTGGGCGTTCTGGTCTGGTGCATGTGGCCAACACATCCCAGCGCTGGTCCAATGGCGCGAGGCACGTTTGCGGTGCGCACTAAAACAAGCTCACATCGTACCCAGATGTATGTCCTGGTGATCAAGCTTGCCCTTGAAAGACTCACCCCTCTCGCGAGTCGAGTCGAACACGTTCTCTCCAGCCTCCAAAGCCGCCTGCTTTACTATCGCATGCCTCGGCATCTCCATCACCGCTCTACCCTGTGGCAGGTGCGCGCCGAGGGGGGAAGTGAGATGCGGCATGCCTTCTCAGAAGGCGCCGGGGCGTCTCAGAAGCCCCCTGGCCTTCTAAGAAGCCGCCTGCGTCTTCGGAGAAGGCTTCGAGAGATTCTAGGAAGGCCTGAGGCCTTCTGGGCCTTCTGGGAGGGCCCGCCCCCTCGGCCTCCCCGCCACCCCCAGGCGCGCCGCCAATAGCGTGCACTACTCCCTCCTAGGCGTCCCTTCATGGAAGGGCGATGCGTGGGTGGGGCGAAGAAACGTGCAGCTTGTGTGCCCCTTTTGGGCCCCAGGAAGCCCCTTTCCGGACCCTAAGGTGCTCGAAAGGTGCACCTTTGTTCACCCCGCCTGCATCGCCCCCCCATTACGGTGAGGTCATTGGGCAAGGAACAAATGGATGAAGAACCCAGGGTCTGGAAGCCAGTGGAACGCGAATTGAGGCTTGGCCATGGACACCACTGGCGCCATCATCAGATAAGAAACCCTCCAGGGTCTGAAGCCTTCTGGGCACATTTCCTAACCAACGCCCCCACCGTAAGCAACGCCCGTGTGGAAATCAGCAGGCACCGATACCGCTACTCCCCAGACTTCTCCCGGGGTGCATTCAGAGAGGCGAATCCCGCGGTGGCGACGAGGGCCTCCCAGGAGGCCCAAGAAGGGGAAAACGGACGAAGGGCAGCGGTATGGGTAATTTGCCCTCCTCTGAGCTCGACCTCCAGCCAACTCCTTCCCTCCCTGGGCGCGCCGCGGTGCGCTCCAGCGCCCGCTGCCGCCTGTGGCCCTGCGCCCGCGCCGCATAGGGAGGCGCGGGGGCCGGGCCGACGCACCCGAGCGTGGCCTGCGAGAGAGCCTCCAGAGGCTCTCGGAGGCCCTCGGGAAGCCCTGCGGAGGCCCCTCTCCCTCCTCACCGTGCTCGTCGTGGTCCTCCCCGTCCTCGCCGCCCCACAGGACACCCTGCGAGCGGAGCTCTGCGGGCGGTTGCTCCCTCGGCTCCGGCCCCCGGGGCGCCGCTGCCGGGGGACGTCAAAACAGACCGCAGAGATGGGGTCGAGGCCTCTCCGGCGCGGACCGAAGAAGTCTCGCCGTCAGCTGCACCGTCACTCCGTAGAAGAAGGACGCGCGATAAGGATGCAAGGGCCTTAGACGCCCATGACGAGGCTCTTCGAGCGGGGCTGGCCATCGAAAGTGGTCGAGGATGGACTGAGGGTGACCGAAGAGGCACGGATGCAAAGGGTACCCTTAGAAAGAGGATTATCCTTACTGGAAGGGTTGACAGTATGGTCCCGGGGTTCCACGGGGGCCTCCAGACGTCTAAGGCCATCCAGAACCCTCTCGGCCCTCGATCCTGGCGTGCTCCTCCACACTCCCACCTCCCCAGACCCTCAGCAACCCGACCCGTTCGAGACGTCGGCCCCTGGACCTGTCGGAATCCCTCCACCCCAGGCAGACGTGCGCGTGCGCGTGCAGAGGGCAGGGGAGGCGTGACGCGTGCCGAGGGCGCCCCGCCTCATCCTCGACCCCACGTGTCCGCTCCGCCCCGCCCCCCCCCCCCCCCCGGCCGATGCACACGAGCCCAGACAGGACCGTGCGCAAGACGCATGTGCAGCCATCGTGCTGCCAATGGGAGCAATACATAGAAAGCGAGGCCCCTCTCTGGGCCCCAAGCACGCCCAGGTCGACGACGAGCGCTAGAGGAACAACCACGGACCATGGGGAACCGCGAGCCCCTTCCGAACCCGAACCACTTCTTATTTCAGCGTCTTGCCTTCGTAACGGGCATGCTGCATGCCGTGTTCAGAACCTGGGCAGCGGGCTCCGACTGCTTCTTGCTTGAGCGAAGCTGATTCCACGACCAGTGCCTCTCCTTGCTGGGGCAGCTGACCGGCAGGAGCGTGCGGTGGAGGGGAAGGGGAGTCGTCGTCGCACTCGTCAGCATGGTTTTCGTCGACGCTGTCGTCGTCCTCTCCATCCTCTCGCAGAGGAGCAATCGGCATAAACATGACTTGGACACCAGCGGCAGCAGACCCTAAACAGCATACGGACAACGTATACGTAGCACCCCGCAGTTGCGGACGCGGCGGGGACGTCGGCAGTCTGCGAAGCTCCGAGGAAGGCCGCCGCAGGCGCCTCATTTACACAAGTTGTACGACGAGCCTGCCGCAGGCGCCCATTTTCTCGTTAAAGCAAAGTAGGTGGGTCGCGGGTGGGTCGCGGGTGGGTCGCGGGTGGGTCGCAGGCCGGGTCGCGGGTGGGTCGCGGGTGGGTCGCGGGTTGGTCGCGGGTGGGTCGCTTTGTGGGGGTGGGTCGCGGGGTGGGTTGCGGATGGGTGGCGGGGTGGGTCGCGGGTGGGTCGCGAGTGGGTCGCGAGTGGGTCGTGGGTGGATCGCGGGTGGGTCGCGGGCCCATTCGCGGGGGGACGACGACGACGACGACGACGACGACGACGTCGACGACGACGACGACCACGACGACGACGACGACGACGACGACGACGACGACGACGACGACGACGACGACGACGACGACGACGACGACGACGACAACATCAACGCAACGACACGCCACGCCACCCCACGCCACGTCAAGCAACGGAACGCAACACAACGCAACAACGAGAAGATTCCCACTTCAGCCACGCACACAGGGACAGCGAATGACCGTTTGGCCCCCGCACTCTACACCAGTGTTGTACTGTACCGTGCACGCGGGAGACAATGCGGGAAACCATACGAAAAACCATGAGAGAAGACGGGAAAACATGCGGAAGACCATACGGAAGACCATACGGGAGACCGTACGGGATATCATGTGGGAGCACACATGGGAAATCGTGCGGAAGACCTCACTGGAGATCATGCGGAAGACCATGCGGGAGACAATACTTGAGAGCATATGGAAGAGCAGACGGGAAACCATACAGGAGACCTTGCAAGAGACCGCACGGGAGACCACGGGCCTCTGGCCACCGATTCCGGATCCCGAGGATCGCGCACGCGCCTCAGAGCACAAAACCCTTGCAGACAAGGTGCTTAGTGAACCTTTGGAGGTCCAGCGGCTACACGCAGGAGTGGCCCTAGGCGAAAGTGCCCTCTGGTGCGCGGCTCGAGGGAGCCCAGCCCAAGCGCGCAAACCGCTGCTACCACACCTCATTCAGCGATCGGGGGGCCCCAACGGGCCCACACCAAAGGCCACTCCAGCGAAGGGTCACTCTCAAGTGTAGTCGAGTCCAGGCCAAAGTCCCCCCGAGGGAAGTCAACGGCAAATTGGCAGGGATGTTCAAGACCGCTCTGAAAGTGTAGGATGATGCAGCATGGCCTGATGGGGCCAGCTCCGTTTCCATCGCATGCCCAACGACTCGACTTGGGGCTGTCGACGGTGTTGCTTGGCGAGCGTGCGTGCACTCAGGATTCGGCCAGCCTGGCCGTGTATCGGGTCGGGCGAAAGGGGGGGATAGCAAAGGGGGGGTTGGAGAATCAGCTCACGTAGCTGATTTTCCCGGCGCCTCCCGGCGCTGGAGGCGGCCATGTATCGAGGAATGGGCCCCTCGGTGAGGCCGAAACCAGCTGCATGCAGCAAATTTCGGAACCCCCCCTTTCCCAAACGCCCCCTTTCGTCCGGCCCGAGTGTAGCCAGCACGGCAAGAAAGTATGTTCCCCCCCGTCCTCATCCACCGGAGGCGCCACCAGGGGAGTCCATCGCCGACCCAAGAAATCCGCGCGGACCTCTGGAAAAATCCACGGGGCCCTCCCAGATCCGAGCAGCTTCTATGCGATGTGTCGTTCCTCGATCCTCGTCGTCGTCGTCGTCGTCGTCGCCGCCGTCGTCGTCGTCGTTCTCCTCGGACTCCCCCATCAGACCCCTCGTCCTGCCTCCCTGTGATCCTTGGCTCCTGCTTGGCTGCACCGCTCGCCCCCCTTTTTGTCACGGCGCCAGCAGGTCACCCCATGTCCGGCCGACCCTCCACTTCACCTGGGGGCTGAGGGGGGGCAACATGGGGACAACAGGGGAGACGTCGACCCCTAACCCCGTGCTTCGTGGGGCCTTCGACTGGAACAGCAATCTGGGGCCCAACCCTGGGATATACCAAAGGGGGGCGTCCGCCCTCGATAGGGGTGCGTCCGAATAGCCCCCTTGGGGTGTATCCCAGGGCTTCCCCTTTTTTTCTGAGCGGCCAAACTGTTTCGGGCGGAACTCGGGGATTGGGGAAGCAAACTCGCCTGCGAGGGG